AGATCATCACCATCATCATTGTCGGATTCACCGGGGTTGATGACCACTTCCGTATCACGCGCACAGCAGCGTAGGCAGCGCGCCCGCAGCGCCCAACGCGCGCGGACAGCGCCCAGGTGATACGGAAGTGATTATTAACCCCGGTGAGTCCGACGATGATGATGGCGACGATCTAAATATTTGGCTAGAAAATATGTTGGAGGATCCATCTAGTCCTATTTACCGGCCATCATGTGTACGAGATTGGCCAAAAGAGTGTGGTTCACGAGCTAATCTCAAGCCTAGGAGGCGCAAGAACAAACGAGCTCGAAGGAAACACAAGGCGAAGACAAAAGAGGAGAAGTGTTTGTGTAAATCGTGTTCGAGAAAGAGACGAGCAAGAAAGATGGAGGCTCGAAGGCGAGGTAAGGAAAGGTTGGAAGATGGAGTGTTTTGGCGTGCCGGAGATTGCACGAACATAGAGGGAAAGCGTATTGAAGGATGGGACCCGTGGGACAAACTAAGGTCATCGAGCGAGCATCAGGAGTCGGCTGGCGACGAGGGTGGGAGCACGAGTCGACAGCGCGCATCGTACCTTGATGCGCACGAACATATGCGAGGGTATGAGATCAACGATCGGGACGCGCGATGGTTGGACAGATGGGGTGAGGCGCCCGATGGGCGCGTGAGTACCAGCGACAAGGGCGAACGCCTAATCCGTATGGGCATAGGCGTAGCGGGCGACGGTGAGGACGCGCGGAAGTTGGGCAGCGGTAGTAGCAGTCGCACGTTGGCGCGCGAGTATGGGGTAGACGCGAGAAGCCTAAGTCGCACAGGCTTAGGAATGACGGGCGCGGACACGCACGCGCGGGACGTGTACAGCGGAGGCGAGGCGTACGAAGGTGGATGCGATTGGGGAGCACACGTGCAAGACCTAGTCGCACAAGGACTAGGCGCCGAAAGCGGAGCGCAACGCGAGTGAGGAGGCGTGCGAGATTAGGGAGGCCGAGAGTTTTTAGCATGTGAGGGGTTTGGGAGAGCTTCTAGAATTGCTTGGTGTGCAAGCCAAGCATTAGTTATTTGGTAGGTTTAGGATTTTATTGCTTTCTAGCATTAGGATTTATTTTATTGCATAGAATAGGAGATCTAGTTTGATTAGGCTTAGATTTATTTTGCACCTATAAATACCCATGTACCTCATCATATTTTATGTCTTGAATTGAGTATTGAATTGGTGAGCCAATTTTGAGGGGAACTTTATGTTCTAACGTGTGATAAACAAGGCCGTCAGTGCGTGTTTACATACAGTGTCTGAGAGAAGGCCCTGAGAGCGTCTCAAAGTCACAGTGTCTAGGAGAAGGCCGATAGTGCGTCTGTTAGATACACCTATCGTGGATAATCGAAGGCCCTGAGTGCGCGATTATTCACAAACCGTATAAATAACAACATGATCCGTCATCATTGGTGCTTTCATTGAGAGGTGCTGATCGTGTTTTTATTTATCGTATCTTTTCTTTTTTTCGGTTTGCCTTTTGCTGAGGGGCCGAATTTCTCTTTATTTTTGTTGGGGTTCGAATTTTTTTTGGTTCGAATTTTCCCTTTTATTTTTCGAATTTGAGTCTTAAAAAAAAAATTGTCATCTTGTTAGTCCTTTGTTTGATTTTTTTTTCGGTTATTACCTTTTGTTGAGGGGCCGAATTTCTTTTTTGTTTCGATTTTTTGAGTCTTGTTGGGGGTTCGATTTTTCGAATTTTTCCCCTATTATTTCAAATTTCTTTAGAGTAAAAAAAAAAAAAAATGTCTTACCCACCATTGGATGAGTTGGATTGGGAAGATCTTGAGATATTGGAAGGTTTGGAAAGAGAGCTCACACCATGGGAAGCAACATATCTTGATGAGCTTCATAAGAGAAGGAATATTGAAGAGTACGAACGTCAACTCGTACAAGCCCGAGAAGCGATGGTGGTTGAGGATCCAAACGAAGATGAAGGTGCGCTTAATTTTTTAATCCTTGAGGACAAGGAAAATCTTGAAGAGGAGGGGAATGATACGGAAGGATTATTAACCCCGGTGAGTCCGACGATGATGATGGCGACGATCTAAATATTTGGCTAGAAAATATGTTGGAGGAGCCATCTAGTCCTATTTACCGGCCATCATGTGTACGAGATTGGCCAAAAGGATGTGGTCCACGAGCTAAGCTCAAGCCTAGGAGGCGCAAGAACAAACGAGCTCGAAGGAAACACAAGGCGAAGACAAAAGAGGAGAAGTGTTGGTGTAAATCGTGTTCGAGAAAGAGACGAGCAAGAAAGATGTAGGCTCGAAGGCAAGGTAAGGAAAGGTTGGAAGATGGATGGTTTTGGCGTGGCTGAGATTGCACGAACATAGAGGGAAAGCGTATTGAAGGATGGGACCCGTGGGACAAACTAAGGTCATCGAGCGAGCATCAGGAGTCGGCTGCCGACGAGGGTGCGAGCACGAGTCGACAGCGCGCATCGTACCTTGATGCGCGCGAACATATGCGAGGGTATGAGATCAACGATCAAAACGCACAATGGTTGGCCAGCTGGGGCGAGGCGCGCGATGGGCGCGCGAGTACCAGCGACACGGGCGAACGCCTAATCCGTGTGGGCATAGGCGTAGCAGGCGACGGTGAGGACGCGCAGAAGTTGGGCAGCGGTAGTAGCAGTCGCACGTTGGCGCGTGAGTATGGGGCGGACGCGAGAAGCCTAAGCCGCACAGGCTTAGGAATGACGGGCGCGGACACGCACGCGCGGGACGCGGACAGCGGAGGTGAGGCATACGAAGGTGGATGCGATTGGGGAGCACACGCGCAAGACCTAGTCGCACAAGAACTAGGCGCCGAAGGCGGCGCGCAACGCGAGTGAGGAGGCGTGCGAGATTAGGGCGGCCGAGAGTTTTTAGCATGTGAGGGGTTTGGGAGAGCTTCTAGAATTGCTTGGTGTGCAAGCCAAGCATTAGTTATTTGGTAAGTTTAGGATTTTATTGCTTTCTAGCATTAGGATTTATTTTATTGCATAGAATAGGAGATCTAGTTTGATTAGGCATAGATTTATTTTGCACCTATAAATACCCATGTACCTCATCATATTTTATGTCTTGAATTGAGTATTGAATTGGTGAGCCAATTTTGAGGGGAACGTTATGTTCTAACGTGTGATAAACAAGGTCGTCAGTGCGTGTTTACATACAGTGTCTGAGAGAAGGCACTGAGAGCGTCTCAAAGTCACAGTGTCTAGGAGAAGGCCGATAGTGCGTCTGTTAGATACACCTATCGTAGATAATCGAAGGCCCTGAGTGCGCGATTATTCACAAACCGTATAAATAACAACACGATCCGTCATCATTGGTGCTTTCATTGAGAGGTGCTGATCGTGTTTTTATTTATCGTATCTTTTCTTTTTTTTTTTCGGTTTGCCTTTTGCTGAGGGGCCGAATTTCTCTTTATTTTTGTTGGGGTTCGAATTTTTTTTTGGTTCGAATTTTCCCTTTTATTTTTCGAATTTGAGTCTTAAAATAAAAGTGTCATCTTGTTAGTCCTTTGTTTGATTTTTTTTCGGTTATTACCTTTTGTTGA